AGTTCTTAAGTGCTTCCTTTGTGCCAGGCACTTTGTTCTTATGAGCACCGAGTTGACGTTATCCTTTGCCCAATAACTGTCTTAAAGGATGCTGCAGAGATGACTGAAAGACAAGCAAGTAAGAAAATCAGAACCAGAGGGTCAGAAGAATGGAGACAAAGAGGAAAACAGAGCACAAATGTTGTTTGTCAGGACTTCGGGGGCAGTTTCACTTATGCATTTCTTGCCAGTGTTGTATATTTTACTTGGACATCCTGTCACTTCCTCTCTACCCTTTGTGACAGAGCTATTTGTTAAAAAGGTTAAAATCCCAGAGGAAGTTTTTTATGTGGCGTGTTCCTTGGCAAGAGATTTATCTTCTGGTCCTCTGAGAAATGTTAAGTTACAGCATACAATTAAGCCTATTCAAGTTTAAAAAAAAAGAAAGTGAAGTCGTTCAGTCGTGTCCAACTGTTTGCGACCCCATGGGCAGTAGCCTACCATAGGCTCCTCCGTCCATGGGATTTTCCAGGCAAGAGTACTGGAGTGGGTTTCCATTTCCTTCTCCAAGGGATCTTCCCGACCCAGGGATCGAAGCCGGATCTTCCACATTGTAGGCAGATGCTTTACCGTCTGAGTCACCAGGGAAAATACAAGCCTATTCAAGTTAGAGGGTGTCAAATGTTCTTGAATAAAGAAAAAAACAAACCTCAGCGGGGGGAAGGTGTATCTCAGAGATCCACCATTGCATATACCCTGGAAGAATTTTCCCAAAGTTAAGAAAACCAACAGTCTCAGAACCTGAGAATTGTCTGCCTTTTAGACTAACAGATTTTAAAGGTAATACACATCTATTAGATTTTTTTAACTTTTTATTTTGTATTGAGGTATAGCTGATTAACAAATAATGTAATAGTTGCAGGTGAACAGCGAAGAAATTCAGCCATACATGTACATTCCCAGGTGGTGCTGGTGGTAAAGGATCCATCTGCCAGTTCATGAGAAGTAAGAGACTCAGGTCTGATCCCTGGGTCGGAAAGATCCCCTGGAGGAAGGCATGGCAACCCACTCCAGTATTCATGCCTGGAGAATCCCATGGACCGAGGAGCCTGGCAGGCTACAGTCCAAAGGGTCACAAAGAGTTGAACATGATTGAGTAACTTAGCACGGCACGACTAGTATATTTTAGTTAGCACAATATTTTAAAGGTTCATTCATGTTTAGTGTATGTTAGAATTTTCTTCCTTTTTAAGGCTGGATAATAATCCATATTATGGATATACCACATTTGTTTATCCATTCATTTTTGGGGATGAAGAAACAATATTTTTACCAATTACTATTTGAATTTTGTCTCCCCTTGGTGTCTGTGGCAGAGTTGGCTGGGAGATGATCATTTTAAGGTCCCTCTTCCATAGTGTAGAGTTGCTGGACAGCATCACCCAGATAGAGATTACATTTCCTGGTCCCGTTTATGTCAAAGTGGGCCTCATGACTAGTTATTGTCAACAATGTGGGAGGAAGTGATATGTCTCTTCTGAACTGATCCTCTAAACACCTGCTGGCAGGCTAACACCAGGGCAACTTTAAAACCACGAGAAAGCAGAGCCTCAGGAAGAAATAGCCTGAGTCACCATCTTGAGGACAGCCTCCCCAGAGAGCCTTTCTGTGTTGAGAATCACATTGGATTTTCTTAAGCCTCTGTGTCAAGCCTCTGTGATTTGGGGGCTCTTATTCAACTTAAATGGCTTTCTTGGTGGCTCAGTGGTAAAGAACCCACCTGCCATGGCAGGAGACATGGGTTGGAAAGATTTACTGGAGAAGGAAATGGCTACCCATTCCATTATTCTTGCCTGGGAAATCCCGTGCACAGAGGATCCTGGCAGGCTCCTGCCCGTGGGTTGCAAAAGAATCAGACACAACTTAGTGACTCAACAACATGCAACCCTAAAACAGCTTTTAAGACTCACTTATTTCAAGTTTCTTTTCCTACCTTTCCAGCTCTTCTTTCCTGTTGTCCACTGCTGACTTTTACCCTCTGCCTTAACTCTTGCTTTTCAGCTGCCAGGTCACACTTTATTTTTTTCATGGAAGGGCATTTTAGTTTAAATATAGTAGTGTATACATGTCAATCCCAAACTCACCCCACTTTTTAGTAGTGTCTGTATCAATCCTTTCCTACCTAAGTACTCTGCTATGATTTAATTAAGCAGAGACAGACCAAGGAGTATGTCAAGCCAGCTGAAAGCTGGAATGCTAGTCTATAAGAGGTGCTTAAAGTTTATTGTAAATTTTGTTTATACTGATAATTTTTTAAGGATGACTCTGCACTAGTTGGAGTGAGGGCTGAGACCTTCATGAAATCTGCTTCAGTAACAGCAGATGGTCTCTAAGCTGCCTTAGGAAGCAGGTGGGTTGTGGGTAATGCAGGACTAGGTGTTTGCTGAGTGGGGATTAGCACCCAGCTCCTCTATACAAATGTGGAGCAAATATGAGAAAACACCAGTTTATGGGGGTAGATAGTTAGACAACTCATATTCCCCATGTATCTTAGTCTGGCCCTGAGTTCAGGCTAGCAGTTTTTCTTTCTTTTTCTGAGCTATTACATTTAATTCCAAATGGATCTGCCATTCATTCTCCTCCCTGCCATCATGCTATCTTTGCCTTAAAACTCTGAGGTTGCAAATTGCCTATGGTCAAACTCCTTTGAATGGATCTGATATGCCACACACTGGGAAGAGAGCAGGATAGAAAAACCATTTAAATAGTTCAGGCTATCAGTGCAAATTTGTTGTATGATGTCTGGAGCTCAAATCAGGTGCTCTGTGATAACCTAGAGGGATGGGAATGGGTTGGGAGGTAGGAGGGAGATTCAAGAGGGAAGGGACATATGTATACCTATGACTGATTCATGTTGATATATTACAGAAACCAACACAGAACTGTAAAGCAATTATCATCCAGTTAAAAATAAATAAATTTAAATAAACAGTGCAGGCTATGATCCCAAATCATGAGCTCATACCAAAAGATGAGGAGGTGCAGAAGACATGAATGTGTTATGCCTGGCTGTTTCTCATCTCTGAATCTTTACTCAGATTGTCCCTTCTTCCAGAATTCCAGAAGACTATACACTCATCTTGTAAGTCTTAGTCCAAGAGATATCCTTTCTGTGAAATCTTTTCTGACAAATCTCCTCACAACCCCTACCTCCACTCCCTCATTATCAGTTCTTTTCTGTCTTTTCTCCCTTTCCATATCCAGGCAGTGGTTGAAGCATAAAAACTTAGACTTTTCCAGCATTTAATCAGGTCCCATGGCAGTGTGAGAATAGTTACTGTGATATTGTTGTTTTAAGGGACATTATATACATCCTGGTTACAAAGAAGGGCACTGGGACTCTATGGTTTATGCTACGTGCACACATGTTTAGTAATTGCTCCCCACTGGACACCAAGACTGCCAGCATGTGGAGAACAGACATGTCCTGTGGCCTAAACATAAGAGTTTGAATGTTTCCTTTGGGCAGAGGAATGCCCATTTATCTTTTTCTCTTCCTGAATCCACTTCTTCATCTGGGTGCAATCAATCATCTTTTTGTTGAAAATAAATAAATTAAATGCCTTACAGGGAGTTTACTTAGCAATTGAAATAAAGATAGAGGAAGATTATTCTTTCTGTCCACATTTTGACAGGAAATCTCTGCCTTTCCAAATGTGACCCAAAGACCTACTAACCTGAAAGTGGTTGGTTTGAACTTTGTAGCCAAAATAATTACTCAAAAAATATCTTTGGTGAGTACACTAGAAGTACATCACCACCTGCTGCTGCTGTTGTTTAATTAAGAGTCTCCAGGTGACAGGCCAGCAAGACTGGACCAATAAGCACAAATAATTGAAATTAATAACAATCTTGAGATGCATGAGTTTTATTCCATTAAATGCTCATTATAAAACTATGGTTTTGAAGTTTTATAAGCAAAGAAGACAGCTGTGAATAAAGCTTCTGTGTGGGCTCTACTTACCTTGAGTTCTACCACTAGCTCTGACTTTCCAGCTACACCCTACACTGTTATTAAACAACAGCATACCTTACACATAGATTTGGTATGAAAAAGAGATGCCTACTCCCCTGTTTAAGGGTTTTTGCTTTAGGGGAGTTTTTTTTGTTTGTTGTGGAAGTGGTCACACACTGAGGTAGCATGGCTAAATGGTTCTTTCTTTTTTAAAAGACTTTACTTTTTAAAAATAGAATTGGAAGAAGAGTATAGAGATTTCCCATATACCCCTTATACTTGTACATGCATGCCCTCACCATTATCAGCATCCCCCATCAGTGATCGAACCCAGGTCTCCTGGATTGCAGGTTCAATCTCTGGGTCAGGAAGATTACTTGGAGAGGGAAATGGCAACCCAATCCAGTATTCTTGCATGGAAAATCCCATGGACAGAGGATCCTGGCAGACTGCAGTCCATGGGGTCACGAAAGAGTCAGGGATGACTTAGCAACTACACAACAACAGCATATATTATTATACATTCATCCAAACCCATTGAAGGTACAACATCAAGAGTGAGCCCTTAGAACTTTGGATAATTATGAGATGTCAATATAATAATAACTTCATCTGAGGTTAAAAATGTAACATTCTGATGGGGGATGTTGATAATGGACATGTCAATCTTCAATTCCAGGGTTGATGTGTTCCTATTTCTTTGAGGCCAGTTCTGGGAATTGTGGCAGTTTATTTAATGGCTAAGGTCTGATCATCATGTAGTTAACTTCTACCTGGTAGGAGTTTCAGTATCTATAATAAAACTCACAGGACATGGCTTAGAATATTATCTATAGTCCTTGAGAAGGAACTAAAGATTCTTTTTTTTTTTTTTCGTGGTTTAAGAGCACTTTATTATTGTTCTTAAGGCTACTTTTAAGTACAAAAAAAAGATGGCCTGCCAAACCTTTTTTTTTTTCTTCTTCTTCCAGGAAAAACAGGCCACAGAGAATGGTATATTACAGATTTACAAACACGGAGAGAATGGTCTGAACGCACTGCGGATGGCCTGGCTCTGTGAAGAACCCCTCTGTGCCCCCGAGACCGGGGCGTGTCCCCCCTTCCCCGTGCCGCTTGGTTTTCTGCCCGGGGCCCCTCCGCCCAGGTCGGTCAGAGCGCAGGCACCTGGCCCTCGGCGCTCCCTTCCCCCTCCCCAGCGATGGCCTCGCTGGCAGGCGCCTGAGGAGCCAGTTCTGCACAGAGCCGCCGGCAGTGGGTCGTTTTCCTGGGCGACGCTCAGTAGCCTGTAGCAATAACAAACTAGTGGCTATTAAGGCAGATGCAGTGTTCTCATAGAATAACTGTGTTCCTGCACTTTTACAGACAAATCTACGACGAAAAAAAAAAAAAAGATCAACTTTTTTTTCCAAACCAAAAAAAAAAAAAAAGAATGATTACAATAGGAAAAGGGAAAAATTAAATAGCTACATATCATTAACAAATTAATTGTTCTTCAAAAAGTACCTAGAAATTTCTCTGTACATTCTTTACGCACAGCGTAATGATGGTCTTAAAGTTACCTATATAAAAAAAGTGTTCTCAATGATTTTTTTTTTCCTACAGAAAATATAGGGGTCTGGATGCAAAAGCCTGGAAGCCCAGTGAAGTGGGAGGGAAATGCGTGCGGGGGGTGGGGGAGACGCCTTCCTCCTGCTTCTTCAAAGACCTGCAGCCCCAGGAGCCCATCGCCGCCTGGTCACCCAGTGCCAACTCTAAAAGTCACCAGCAAACCTGTATCTTTCTCCTACTGACAACCAGGCCAGGGGACGCGCCAGAGCCCTGGTGGGCGGGGCCCAAGAAAAGGTGCCCAGAAACAAAAGCAGCTGTCGAACATCCACAGCTGGGTCTGTCATGCTTGCTTCTTCACCTAATTCCTAGTTAGTAGCTATGACTATAGCAAACGATAATAAATGCAGTAATAACTGTATAAGGTCAGAGGAATGTATACTGCCTTGGCCCCAGCATACGAGAGGAAGCACATAAAAACACCGCGTCAGATTGTCGGGAATCTGCTGTCCCGCCAAGGGAGCAGAGCAGTTTCTGCATGAGAGGGAAGTGGGAGACACCAGTCCCAACTCCCCTGGGAGCGAGGGAGCAGGCAGGGAGGTAGAAAATAGCCAATGCTGTCAGCCTGCGGCCACCGCTCCAGCATCCTGCTCGGCGGCTGCCCAGCCACTCGCCCGCCTGGTCCAGGGCCTGCCAGGGAGTAACATGGATATCAAATACAAATCTCAGAGCACAACTGTACCAGCAGTAAGTATATCTAGGACTGTAACTGACAAAAATAAAACGCATTCTGAGAAGAAGCTAGTTGAGTATTAAGGATTTTTTGTTTACTGTCTATACAGTTAATAGAAACCAGCTATTTTTATCCTTTAATTAAAACATGCATCACTGTTTAAAGCACTACACGCTCCTCCAACTTCAGCTCTAGCCTAACAAACTGCAGTGTTCAGAAAAGGTAAAATGCCCGTGATTGGTAAGAGTCTGCAGTCCAGTTGCAAGCACCTGAAATCGAGACAGAGAAAGACCTATAACCTGCATGAGACTTCCCCTTTCCAAAGCGGTTTTGTCTAAGTTAAAAACAAAAAAAAAACCACACAAATGGTCACACATGTCATCCTGAAACCCTCTGTTTCTCAGCAGTTTGCCCTCGGAGCACCAGCGTCTCGCACAAAGCTGTCAGGCAGGCCACTCGAGTCCTCCTCCCATAGTGCAAATCAGACACGACAGTCCTGTTCTCTTCAAGCAGACGCACGCACACAAGCACGCACACACACGCACACACGCAGGCTGGAAGCGGAGCCGCACACGCCCGGGTCTCGAGAAGCGAACGAAAAAGCACAGCGCGTCTGGGTCGCCGGTGGCCTGGCCTGTGACTGAGAAAGCGCGAGCCGTGGCGACCAGGCCTCGTGGGGCGCTGACCTGGTCCAGGCGTCTTTGGTAACCGAGGCGGGCGTGCGGGCGCCCGCGGACAGAGGTGTCCCGCGCGGCGCCGCCAGCATGTCTGAGGGCCCCGAGGACGAAGACCAAGCAAGTACGAAACACAACAGAAAGCCCCACCACGTGGTTTTTGCGAATAAACCATCCCTCCCTCTTCCCACCATTTTTTTTTCTTTTTCCAATTTTTCCATTTTTTTTTTTTTAAGCACTGACTGTTCAAAGCTCAGGCAAACCATGCAGATGGACGTGGTGTCGGAGGGCGGCGCTCCCTTCAGGAGACCACGGACAGGGAGTGGCTGTGGCTGACCATGTGGGCCGAGGGGCTAGCTGGCTGGCCCCGGCGCGAGGCCGACTCAGGGCTGCTGGACGCGCCGTCCTTGGCCGCCTTGATCTGGAGCCACGTGTCGCCCAGGGCCTTGGCGAAGTGGTCGTCCACGGAACCCGTGATGGACACGGAGTTGGGGGCCGGCTCCGGCGGAAGTGCTCCTCCACCACGGGGTCGCAGGTGGAGCTCGGGGTCCGCCGGTAGCTGGCCGGGCCGGCCGCGCAGCCACTGTGCGCCACGGGGCAGTGCGAGAGGTTGCAGTTGCGGGCGCTGGCGGAGGCGCACGTGATCACCGAGGGCCGGTTCTGCTGCCGCTCCACCGGGGCCAGGGTGGGCGAGAGGCCGGCCGGCCTGCCGGCGTCCAGGCTGTTCTTGGTCAGTGCGAGGGGCTGCTCCATGCTCAGGCTGGGCAGGGACGCGTACAGGGGGCCGCCGTGCAGGCTCATGGTGGGGGCCACGGCCCGCTCGATGGGGCTGCGGCTCCGCTCCCGGGGGTCTTTCCGGCAGTCCCCGTTGGCCGTCTTGTTCAGGTGGGGGGCGAAGATGCGACTCATCTTGGAAGCATGGTCAGCGTCACAGTCCAGGTCGTCGTCACCGGGGTCCACGCTGAACTTCCTCTTGCTGGGACTGATGGGCAGGGGCCCCGTGCGGTGAGCGGTGAGGGCCGAGGCCACCGGGAGGGTCTGCAGCCGGGGCTCCCCTCGGAGAGCAGCTTCACGTTTTTCGTCATCAGCGTGTACCAGCGATGCTGCCCTTGACAAGACATCCAATGGGGTCTCCATTCCTGGTTGGAGCCGCCGGGCAGCTCCCGGCGCGCCCACCTCTGGCCGGCCGGGCCCCGCTGTGGGCAGAGGCAGAGGCGCGACCGCGGGGCACATGGGGCCGGGCGCACTCCGGGGGTGCGCCCACGCGCCCGCGCTCCGCACCGATCCCCGCCGCTCCGCACACCCACACCTAAAGATTCTTGACTATGCTTAATGACTAATGGCTCAGACGGTAAAGAACCTGCCTGCAATGCAGGAGACCCTGGTTCAGTCGCAGGGCCAGGAAGAGCCTCTGGAAAAGGGAATGGCTACCCACTTCACTATTCCTGCCTGGAGAATTCTATGAACAGAGGAGTATAATGGGCTACAGTCCATGGGGTTGCAAAGAGTTGGACATGACTGAGCGACTAACACTTTCACTATCCTTCACTTTCAATGACTAAACTATTATTATTTAGTCTTACTGGACTGTTTGCCTTTGTTTTTGCATTTTCTCATTTCTTTGATTAAAGTTATCCTCTGGTTAAGGTTTTTCCACAAAGTCAGGTGGAGGACGCAGTGGGAAAGGACCATAGGGTCTTTCTCTGTTTCATTATGACTATCCATTGGTGGGATTTTGTGTGGACATAAGTTTTCAACATCACTTTGCCAACAAAGGTCCTTATAGTCAAAGCTATGGTTTTTCCGGCAGTCATGTAAAGATGTGAACTGGACCATAAAGAAGGCTGAGCACCAAAGAATTGATGCTTTCAAATTGTGGTGCTGGAGAAGACTCTTGAAAGTCCCTTGGACTGCAAGGAGATCAAACCAGTCAATCCTAAAGGAAATCATCCCTGAATATTCATTGGAAGAACTGGTGTTGAAGCTGAAGTTCCAATACTTTGGCCATCTGATGCAAAGAGCCGACTCATTGGAAAAGACCCTGTTGCTGGGAAAGCCTGAAGGCAAAAGAGACAAGAGGGAAGCAAATGATGAGGTGGATAGCATCACTGACTCAATGGACAAGAACTGGAGCAAACTCTGGGCGATATCGGAGGACAGGGGAGCCTGGCATGCTGCAGTCCACAGAGTCACAAAGAGTCAGACATGACTTAGTGACTGAACAACAATGAACAAAATTTTCAACTCATTTAGGAAAATACCTAGGAGAGTGATTGCTGGGTCATATGGTAAGAGTATATTTAATTTTGTAAGAAACTCCGAAACTGTCTTCCAAAGTGGCTGTGCTATTTTACAGTCCCCCCAGTAATGTATGAGAGCTCCTGTGGCTCCACATCCTCGCTGTATCTTGGTAGCTAGACACGATGTACCAGGTGAGAGAAAATGCTGTCAAAGCACCTTTCACAATATGGTGGTGAGGTGTGGGGGAAGGGGAAGTGTTCTAAAGTCTCTGATTAGGTCTCAGTCTTTTAATGAGCCTGTGCCTCTGGAGTGGGAACTTTAGAAGTGTTTCTCATTTTTCACTTCTTGCTTTAGGCCAGACAGAATGACTACAACAGGCTGGGGTTGAGTATTTTCCTATATTCACGTGGAAGGCTAGAGGTGACTGGAATCAGATAATGTTCTTCCCTCAAATCAATTCAACTCTGATAATATCCCAGCAGTTTAGGCTCTGGTTAACTAGTTTTCCCTAAGAAGTTCATAATGCAGATAACTTTTATGGTTAAAGGTAAAAAAAACCTAAGACCACATTTTTTCTCAAGCCTTACTTTATGCTGGAAAATCAAAGGTTGAAGTGTGTTATTTAATTGTTGTTTAGTCGCTAAGTCATGTCCAACTCTTTTTTAACCCCATGGACTGTAACCCGCCAGGCTTCTCTGTCCATGTGATTATCCAAGGAAGAACACTGGAGTGGATTGCCATCTCCTCCTCCGGGGGATCTTCCTCACCCAGGGATAGAACCTGAGTCTCCTGCGTTGCAGGCAGATTCTTTACCACTGAGTCCCTTGGGAAGCTATGTTATTTGATTAGAACATCTCATAATTTGTGTTTGTTTTCCCTGGTGGCTCAGATGGTAAAGCATCTGTCTGTAATGTGGGAGACCTGGGTTCGATCCCTGGGTCGGGAAGATTCCCTGGAGAAAGAAATGGCAACCCACTCCACTACTCTTGCCTAGAAAATCCCATGGACAGAGGAGCCTGGTGTCCATGAAGTTGCAAAGAGTCAGACACAACCAAGCGACTTCACTTTCTTTCCTCCTAACACTGGTTTAATTACTCTTGGCCCCAACATAGCAGAGCTACATTTTTCAGTGGGAAAAGATATTAAACTGATAAGAACAGAAACTACACTTGATTCTAGCCAAAAGGCCAAGAAGTGATAGGAAAGGATTTCAATTTCCTCTTCGTGGTTCAAAAAACAGCCCACTTACCCCTGGGGGAATTTTTTCTCCCTCACTGACCAAGGTAGCCACAAAATTTCCTTCCTCAAAATCCTTAGTTAGTAAATGGTGCAACATGGAGCTTGTAGCTGGCAAGTGGAAAGGGAATTGCGCACTGCTTTGCCCTGCCATCTTAGGAGTAAGCCTACACCTCAGCTCTGAGATTTCACAGACAGGGAGGGACCCTCAGCTTCTTCCATCCAGAGCTTCTCCTCTTTCTCCTCAAAATTGCCTCGATGAGGTGACTGACTCCCTCCGTCAACGACTGGAGATGAAGCTTGAAGAACAAGTGTGCCCAGAGAAAATGTTTTTTGTTCTTACCCCTAGGTGTAAATGCTTAAAAACAGATTTGTAGTCAGAACAATGAGGAAGTAGGAGAAAGCTGGCTAGTGTGGGGAAAGGGAAATGGGGCTTTCCCAGCAAGAAGATTCTGAAATATGGACTGGGGGAGGGGAGAGGACTTACAGTGGCTTCCTCACAACTTTAACCCAGGCTCACCTTTTACTAACACTGAGAAAGTACTTGACAGACAACTTGGGTGTCTCCCAAACAACGCCACCAGTGAGACTCTTCCTCCCCTCTTGTCTCCATTGCTCATACACGGACTGCTCTTCTCTGCCTAGAAAGGCAGTGAGTCCCTGGATGCTGATGACTACGGAAAGAAGAAAAGAATCCAGGGCATTCAGCTGCTGCTAAGAAAGGTCATTCCTCTGTTTCAGCAGCTGGTTTCATTTTGTGCTTTCTGAGAAGATGCCATGTGTAGAAGAAATGATCCCTATGCATTTCCCCTGAAATAGAGCATCGTGTGGAATAGTTGACAGTATGAGGCTTTCTCTGCCATTCTCGGCTTTCATTGGCTGATGACCCAGAGAACTGGACGCCTCACTGCATTTATGACACTGGTTTCTCTCATGCTCTGAGGTGCAATGAAAGCTGACTACTTCTCTAATTACTTCCTTACGCCTCTACGCCTCTTTAAGGACTAAGAGGCCATTTCCTTTCTTAGTTTTAACTCATTCCAAAGTGTCTCTTCACTGTTTGATTAGAACGCTTGTTATGTATATTTTACTTGGCAAATAGTGTCACATTTTAATAGTGGTGTCCAAAAGATATGAGTTCAATACATGCTCTGTAGATTTCTAGCTGAATGATCCTTGTCCAGTTCTGTGACCTTTCTGAATTAGTGTCATTGTCTTATGGTGGGAATAGCAACACCTAATTGGGTGGTGAAAAATAGTGTGAAAATATATGCATTTTGTGTACATACATGATAATATTACTATATTGACATGTTCTAATTTTTCAAACAGTACAACTGAGCAGTGAGTGAGTTGTTGTTATAATGATGTGCGTGTGTGTGTGTGTGTGTGTGTGCACGCTCAGCTGTGTTCGATTCTTTCCGACCCCATGGACTGTAGCCCACCAGGCTTCTCCTCTCCCCATGGAATTTTCCAGGCAAGAATACTAGAGTGAGTTACCATTTTCTTCTCCAGGGGATCTTCCCTACTCAGGGATCGAACCCAAGTCTCTTTGGTTTCCTGTATTGGCAGGCAAATTCTTTACCACTGCACCACCTGGGAAGCCATGTTCTAAATTTTTGAACAGTGAGAAAATTGCTGCTATAATGGTAAAAACAACAATAATATCTATAGGACATCACATTTCACCAAACCCTTTACATTCATTTTCTCTTACCAACCTTGTTTGGCATAGCAGGTATTTTAAAATATCTACTTTAGAAATTCCTTCGTGGCTCAGATGGTAAAA